GCAAAGGCTTACCGCCACAGGGTTTGGTGGAAGCTGCCGGGAGGGAGTAAGGGTTTGAACGCTGGCAAACGGCAGGCTTGAACGCCCTAACAACAGAGGCTAATATGTGCAGGCAAACAGCAGGTTGCAACGCTGGAACCTGACGGCCACAAAGCTTGGTGGAAGCTGCCGCGAGGAAGCTGCCGTGAGGCGCCCTAGGCATGGACGCCCTAACAGCAGAGGGCTATGCAGGCAAACGGCCGGCGAAGCATTTTAAGCGTTTTAAGTGTTTGAAGGCTGGCAAACGGCAGGCTTGAACGCCCTAACAACAGAGGCTATGTGCAGGCAAACGGCAGGCTGCAACGCTGGAACAGCAGGGGCTGACGGTCACAGGGCTTGGTGGAAGCTGCCGCGAGGAAGCTGCCGCGAGGCGCCCTAGGCATGGACGCCCTAACAACAGAGGGCTATGCAGGCAAACGGCCGGCGAAGCATTTTAAGCGTTTTAAGGGTTTGAAGGCTGGCAAACGGCAGGCTTGAACGCCCTAACAATAGAGGCTATGTGCAGGCAAACGGCAGGCTGCAACGCTGGAACAGCAGGGGCTGACGGCCACAGGGCTTGGTGGAAGCTGCCGCGAGGAAGCTGCCGCGAGGAAGCTGCCGCGAGGCGCCCTAGGCATGGACGCCCTAACAGCAGAGGGCTATGCAGGCAAACGGCCGGCGGAGCATTTTAAGGGTTTGAAGGGTTTGAAGACTGGCAAACGGCAGGCTTGAACGCCCTAACAACAGAGGCTATGTGCAGGCAAACGGCAGGCTGCAACGCTGGGCTGACGGCCACAGGGCTTGGAAGCTGCCGCGAGGAAGCTGCCGCGAGACGCCCTAGGCATGGACGCCCTAACAACAGAGGGCTATGCAGGCAAACGGCCGGCGGAGCATTTGAAGCGTTTTAAGGGTTTGAAGGCTGGCAAACGGCAGGCTTGAACGCCCTAACAACAGAGGCTATGTGCAGGCAAACGGCAGGCTGCAACGCTGGAACAGCAGGGGCTGACGGCCACAGGGCTTGGTGCAAATGGCCGGCGAAGCATTTTAAGCGTTTTAAGGGTTTGGAGGCTGGCAAACGGCAGGCTTGAACGCCCTAACAACAGAGGCTATGTGCAGGCAAACGGCAGGCTGCAACGCTGGAACAGCAGGGGCTGACGGCCACAGGGCTTGGTGGAAGCTGCCGCGAGGAAGCTGCCGCGAGGCGCCCTAGGCATGGACGCCCTAACAACAGAGGGCTATGCAGGCAAACGGCCGGCGGAGCATTTTAAGGGTTTGAAGAGTTTGAAGTTGCAACGCTGGAACAGGAGGGGCTTACGGCCACAGGGCTTGGTGGAAGCCTTGGACAATGTGAAGGCCATGGCCGTGACAAAGCAGGTTCCACACCTCCGGTGGTCCCAGGCGCCGCCCCTGCCTTGGCGAAGGCCGGGGCCGGCGGATTACATATCTTCACACACTCCACGAAACATGTTTCTGTCACTGTTGAATCAAAACGCAAGAGACTTGGCTGGTTTGGGCCACTCGTTTTCTGCATCTTCACAAGAGACATACCTGGTTAGTAGAAGATTTGCTACGCGCTTTCTGTGCCGCCATGTCTGTGTGTCTAGTCTCAGTCTGTCAGACCGTTTTCGAAATGGATGGCTTGCCGATCGGTGGACTAGAGTCCAAGTGTGCAGCGTGCATTACCCTGGGAGGTCAAGAACGGCGTTGGACATGTTCTAATGAAATACGTGCGCGAGCAGGTTTTTACAGTAAATGCAGCTGGAACCGAGGCGTATGCCATATCCGCTACATTGATGATGTCATCCTTGTCAGTCGAATGTTTTGCAGACAGTGTCTCGTGGATTCCCTGAGCGTCATTTACAATGTCCCTTTTGATGTGTCTGACGACGGTCTTTGTATCAAGTGGTTGGATATGAGCTTGGATTTAAACACATGTTGCTTGGGCCTCAACATCAAACAGTTGGCTTTGCCTCCACACTGGAGTGTGTCAAAAACATTTTTTCGGAATATTTTGCTGGGTCGGTTTAAACGCTGGAGTCCCGCTGGAGTGAGATTGAGCCCAAGCCTTCAGAGTGGCAAAGTGCAATCGTACGTTTGCTTTTGGAAGCAAGACTCGCCGGATGGTCTAGTACATATGTTGCCTTATTCTCAATCCATGATATTGCGTTTACTCCCTATGTCTTTTTTGCTCAATGTGCTTGGAACTTGGAACACCATTAAGAAGGAAGTGCCGCCAGACAAGGCTCAATAGTGTAGCTTGGAAGAGCTCCCTGGCCCTGTAGCTGACCATGTTTCCGTTGCTTAGCCTCTTTCTGGTTTTGCAATCTTCCCGCGCCTTTGCAGGATGGACTGATGGAAAAGGGTCTTCTTGGCATAGGAACAGTTCCTGGAATGGCTTTGGGCAATCCCGGCATCGCCATGGAAAAGGAGGCAGTAAAGGCGGCTTCACTCCTGGCAATGTCCCCATGTTCGATGCCTTGTCCTTGATCGTTGATGTGATCCAGGACCGCTCAAACAGGAAGAGAAGCAAACGTGCTCGGTCTGCGTCTATGTCCAGTGACTCGTCCCGTGACTGTCGCCGACGCAGCCGGCATGGCGTGTCCAAAGAGCTCAAGGAGCTTCGCAAATTTCGTGAAGATGCCCAAGCGGCATGGTACTCGCTTGTGCACCTGACAATCGTCTCGCTTGTGCACCTAAAACCTTCCACTTCTACCTCTACTTGCACCTCTCTTTCTACTTCCACATCTACTTTCAGCTCTATTCCTACTTGTCCTTCTACTTATTTTTCCACATCTATTTCTACTTCTCCTTCTACTTCCACTTCTACTTCTACTTCCACTTCTACATCTACTTTCACCTTTATTTCTACTTCCACTTCTACTTTCAGTTCTACTTCTACTTCTGCATCTATTTCTACTTCTCCTTCTACTTCTACATCCACTTCTACTCCTATATCTACTTCTACTTCTACTTGCAATTCCACTTCTACTCCTACATCTACTTCTACTTCCACTTCTACTTCTACTTGTACTCCTACCTCTACTTCTGCTTCTACTTCTACTTCTACTACTGCTTCTACTTCTACTTCTACTACTGCTTCCACTTCTACTTCCACTTCTACTTCTACTTCTACTTCTACTTCTACTTACATTCCCACTTCTACTCCTACATCTACTTCTACTTCCACTTCTACTTCTACTTCTGCTTCTACTCCTACATCTACTTCTAATTCTACTTCTACTTCTACTACTGCTTCTACTTCTACTTCGACTTCTACTTCTACTTCTACATCTATTTCTACTTCTCCTTCTACTTCTACTTTCACCTTTATTTCTACTTCCACAACAAGATAGAAACCCTAAAGGTGTCGTGGATCTTCCTACATAAAGTGCAACAACATACAAACCCTAAAGTTGTCGTGGCTCTTCTTACATCAAGTGCAACAAGATAAAAACCCTAAAGGTGTCGTGGCTCTCCTGACTTTAAGTGCAACAAGATAAAAACCCTAAAGGTGTCGTGGCTCTTCTTACATTAAGTGCAACAAGATATAAACCCTAAAGGTGTCGTGGCTCTCCTTACATTAAGTGCAACAAGATATAAACCCTAAAGGTGTCGTGGCTCTTCGTACATCAAGCGCAACAAGATATAAAATGATATAAACCCTAAAGGTGTCGTGGCTCTTCTTACATCAAGTGCAACAAGATAGAAACCCTAAAGGTGTCGTGGCTCTTCCTACATCAAGTGCAACGACATATAATCCCTAAAGGGGTTGTGGCTCTTCTTACATCATGTGCAACAAGATAGAAACCCTAAAGGTGTCATAGCTCTTCCTACATCCAGTGCAACGACATATAATGCCTAAAGGTGTCGTGGCTCTCCTGACTTTAAGTGCAACAAGATATAAACCCTAAAGGTGTCGTGGCTCTTCTTACATCAAGTGCAACAAGATATAAACCCTAAAGGTGTCGTGGCTCTTCTTTCAACAAGTGCAACAAGATATAAAATGATATAAACCCTAAAGGTGTCGTGGCTCTTCTTACAACAAGTGCAACAAGATATAAAATGATATAAACCCTAAAGGTGTCGTGGCTCTTCCTACATCAAGTGCAGCGACATATAATCCCTAAAGGGGTCGTGGCTCTTCTTACATCAAGTGCAACAAGATATAGACCCTAAAGGTGTCGTAGCTCTTCTTACATCAAGTGCGACAAGATATAAACCCTAAAGGTGTCGTGGCTCCTTACATTAAGTGCAACAAGATAGAAACCCTAAAGGTGTCGTGCCTCTTCTTACATCAATTGCAGCAGGATATAAACCCTAAAGGTGTCGTGGCTCTTCTTACATCAAGTGCAACAAGATAAAAACCCTAAAGGTGTCGTGGCTCTTCTTACATCAAGTGCAACAAGATATAAACCCTAAAGGTGTCGTGGCTCTCCTTACATTAAGTGCAACAAGATATATATAAACCCTAAAGGTGCCGTGGCTCTTCTTACATCAAGTGCAACAAGATATAAAATGATATAAACCCTAAAGGTGTCGTGGCTCTCCTTACATTAAGTGCAACAAGATATAGACCCTAAAGGTGTCGTGGCTCTTCCTACATCAAGTGCAACAAGATATAAACCCTAAAGGTGTCGTGGCTCTTCTTACATAAAGTGCAACAAGATATATATAGTCCCTAAAGGTGTCGTGACTCTCCTTGCATTCAGTGCAACAAGATATAAAGCCTAAAGATGTCGTGGCTTTTCTTGCGTCAAGTGCAACAAGATAGAAACCGTCAACGTGTCGTGGCAGACAGGTTGCTCTCAGGACCTTTTTTTGCATTGCGTGCTAGCGTAATTTCCTGGTAATTTGCGATAAGAATGGAGACCATTGTTTGGTGGAACGCAGGGGAGGCACCTCCAGCTAGGTGCGCAAGTGAGTCTATTTCCAGGTGCGTAAGCGAGTGAATTTCCCAGGTGCGTAAGTGAGTCTATTTCCAGGTGCGCAAGTGAGTGTAGTGCCAGCCCAAGCTGCGGCGGAAGCCAGGAAACAAGCAGAGAAAGAAAAGCGTGAAAAAGAAGAGAGGGAGGCACAATTCAAAGCCTTGGAGGAGAAGGTTTTGAGTTCTTTGCCGCAAGGTCTCAAAGACAAAAGAACTCCACCAGCACGTGCCCATGGTGAAAAAGCTGCTCCCAATCCTCGTGCTGACATTTCGGCTCTGGCTGCTAGGCTGATTGATGTCTTGTTTGACAAACAAGTGAATTGCCAAGGGGTCACTAGCTGGGAGGATGTGGAACAGCGCCTCACTTCTCTGGATGCCAAAGTTTTGCGTGAGATCGTTGAAAGCAAATTCCCAGATGATGCTGTGCCCCGCATCAAAGCTCAGCCAGTGGCCAAACTCATGGAGCTTGCCATGTCCGAATGCAGTGTGTGAACGGAGCCGCTCACAACAAAGGGGCTTGCGCCTGCCTTGGCAAAAGACAAGCCCACAAACGATGCTGGGCTGGATTTAGTAAGGTCCTTTGAGCTGATTGATGGCCATTCTCATGTTTCTAGACATTGTTACAGAATTTGAATTCAACATCTTTTCTGGATAATACATGATTGCTCAAAACAAGATTCTGGTGGGTAGATTGTTTGTGTTAAAACATGTTAAAACTATGACAATGAGTGGCGTGAGCACCAGGGATATCTAATAATAATATGCAGTCTGGAAGTGAACGCTGGCACATGTAGGTATATAAAAAAAAAACATGTTATATCTCTATTTTGATGTATAATGTGTGTTTTTTCAGTGCAGAGCCCCTCTCCGCTCTGCACGGTGGCGCCCTCCCACAAACTACTATCAAAGTAGCGGCGCCTCCCATGTACCTGATTCAGGAGGCTATTGCCTTCCTTGAAGCTGCAGTGGATGCAGGAGGCTTGGTTGGCAGCCTGCCTTGCATCAAGCCATGCCATGCATTTTGCTTGCGTGCGCAGGAGGCTCTTTGGAAAGGAGCCTCCTTCATTGTTACTGTTACTGTTGGTTGCGGAGCGGGCAAAAAAATTGCTCAAGAAGCTGCAGGCACACGACCGCGAAGCAGGTTTCTTTTACACCTCACTTCTTGAACCTGCTTTTCACAGATCTCAGCCCTGTCCATGCAGCATCAATCTCAAGGATCCATATTTGCAAATCGAAACTCTAAGTGCACATACAAGTCGTCCAGACAAACAACAGAGCCTTGCAAAGCCGCAGTCTGGGGAATGGTCTCCTTGATGGTATCCAGGGCACGTGCAATGAACTTGGCTGCGCTTTCCACTTCATCTGCTTTCTTTTCCAAGGCAGCCTTTGACTTCAAAGCTGGGCATGCTACCACTTTCTCTTGAAAGGATTCAACCAACGCGTTGCCGTTGTAGCTGTCGGCTTTCCATGGCACATCCTGGAGTTCAGTCTCCGGGTACTTCAGTGCATTCTGCAAAGTGGTCAAGAACAAGATTGCCTTGGTAAGCGACACTGACTTGAGCTTATCCTCTGCAAAGAAAGGGCGGCTGAAAAGAAGACACTCACGAGCATTCTCAAGCTCGAAGCCTGCCTTTTCTTTCAGACCTGGGTCGCACTTCTGCAGGAAGGCTTGGATACCCAGCTCCAACTCAGCCTTCGCAAGGACACCCTGGGGCGAGGCACTGGCAGGGCGAGGTGCTGCCATGCTACTGCGTCGGCGTCGGTTCAAGCCTGACTGAGAGGGAGCTAAAACACCTGCGGGTGAAGAAAAATCAAGAAATTGATCTTTACCATCGTGGAAAGGAATTGATGACTGAAGCTTTCTGAGTCCTAGGCAGCTGAATTTTTTCAAAGCTGGAGTGTGTCTGTCCAGTGTCAGGCTGACAAGATGCCACGTGCTATGAAAATGTTCCGCGCCAAGCGCCTCAAAACACAGACGGACATGGCGTTACCTGCCATATTGCCTAAGACACTTTGTGGAAAATTTTGCAATTCTGCAACATCTCCAGGCTTATATGCTCCAGGCCATACTCCCTGGAGCAACAAGAAATCTCTTGGCTTCAAGAATCTTTGACCCTGATGCCACCAGTATCCATGCTTCCCTTTGCACCGGCTTGCGGTGAGGCAAGGGCACTTGTCTTCCATCCAACTGGCCTTTGAACCGCCTGCGTCAACAATGAAATCCCGATGTTGCTTGGCTGGGTTCCGATCCAGGTAGTTCTGAAACTGCTGCAAGTTCTTGCGGACAGTGTTGCTCAAAGCATTGCCATCTCCATCGTGGGTCATATGGGACAAGTTTCTCTTTTCACTGGCGCCACAGTTGCCCAAAAGCTGTTGCAAGCTGAGTGTCTGTTTGAAGTTTTCGGGCCAGTGGAAGTGATGGACCTGTGTGTCCCTTCTGATCCCTACAACGTACACACGCTCCCTGTGTTGCAGGATGGCGTAGTCTTCGGTGTTCAGGACTTTCCAGTACACATGGTAACCTGCCAGAAAGAATCGTCGAATCCATGTTACTTGTGATTCTATGATTTCTAGTCAATGACCAAAAAAACAGATGTTAAATGAAGCTTAGACACAGGGCTGGCCATTGGGAAGTTCAATGCCTCTCAAAGTTTCAATCAACCAGTTGAACTCGTTCGGAAAGAGGCTCAGGAGACCTTTGACATTCTCAGCCACAAAGCTGCGAGGCTTATGCTTTTTGATTTGGTAAGGGATGAAAGCCATCAGACCGCCTCTGCAATCTGATGCTCCTTCTTTCACACCAGCAACACTCCAAGATTGACATGGGCTGCCGACTGTGTACAAATCAACATCAAACCAGACAGGCTCAAGATCTCGCGTGTTCTCCATATTGTTCTCCAATCGCTGGGGCTGAACAAACTGAGTAATGAATGCCCTGCAGGGTCACGAGCATGACTCTACAAAAAGAATTTGATTTAAAACATGTTCAACAAAACATCTGGGCCTAAACTTCGGTTCAATCTCAGAGGTGTAGACGTGCTTCACGGTGACTGCGGGTGGCAAGTTGACTCGCACTGCCGGCCCTTCTGTGCAAAGACCAGAGCAGTCAGACGCCAAGGTGACTTCGGCCACGGAACTTGGAGGCTGCACAGGTAAGAGTTGCACTTCAGGCTGGGCAGGCAGCAACGTGGTCTTAGCTTTGGCAGCTCTGCTCCTGCTTCCCTTCAAGGAAGGTCTCTTCTGCACTTTCCGAGCTGCAGACTTTGCAGCTGCCTTGCCCGTGGCTTTCCCCATGGCTAGTCTAAGAAGGCTCACGGATCACTATCTAAAGCTGAAAAACTGTGCGGTGATGACAGTATTAGTCAGTCCATGACAAATGAGAGAGACCATCAATGCAGAACATCTTCTACAAATTCTTTTTTTGCTGCACCTCTGACACTGCGACCAGTAGACCGCGCAACTCTTACCATCTGCCGCCTTGAGTCAACAGGCGGGGCCAAAAGCCTACAGGATTAAGATCTTTGATCTGGAAAATGCGCTCTTCAAGCGCAGGCCTTGCTCAAAACTGGCCTGCACGATAGCCATCAGGAATCTCAGCTCTGATTGCCTTGCAAGTTCTGCAACTGGGAACGGAACTCATCCAACACAGTCACTGCTGTGCCAGAGCTCCCACTTCCACTGCTTGGCACAGGGTTGGAGGGAGTGCTGCCAGTGGACGCTCCCACCGTGGTAGCCGCAGGTGCGGCAGATGTCTGGGACGACCTGCTGGCGCGATCTCCTCCCAAACCTTGGCTGCCGATGAAAATTGATATTGTGTAATGATCATGTAAAAATCCGCCCACACCGCTTTGGCGGTGAAGGCGTGCTTATTGGGGGGCAACAGCAACACTAAATGCTCAATGACATTTGTTAATATAGCAGTCGCTATATCAGCTTTAGCTGGGGGGGGGGCCAAAAACGGTTTCGCACCGAGACCAGACCCCAAAAACGGTTTCGCACCGAGACCAGAATACGGTGGTGTTTTCGACATTTTTCGAGGATTTTTGGGTGTCTGAGCGCAAGAGGGTATTGAAATGGAATTTTGGGTCATTTTGGTAGCTTTCCGGCAATGGAAAAACGGCCAAAAATGAAAAAAACATTGTACATAGCAAGATTTTGCAGGGTTTTTGGATGCCAGAGCATTGAAAACACTGCAAAAACAAGTGTTTTGGACTGACGTTATAGCAAAAAACGTGTAAATTACCGTATGCTTGACTGGAAACATTACAAAAACACTGTCAAAAGCAATGTTTTGGAAGGATTTACTGCCTTTATGGCAAAAAACGTGTAAATTACCGTCTGTTTGACTGGAAACATTGGAAAAACACTGTCAAAAACAATGTTTTGGAAGGATTTCTTATTGAAACTTCTTAGCTTGAAGAGCCCCCACGGGGGAAAACCACCCTTAGCCCCTCTCACGGACCGAAATAAACCTGCGGTGTGGGCGGCCACCCCACGCGAAGCGGGGTGAATAAATGTATCTGCACTACAAATCATTGTGGTGCAACATCGATAGTTGAGCCCCAAAACTGCCGAGTAACTTGCTGCCAACTTGGGCTCGTACACCGTTTCGGCCGAAGAAAGCATGCGCAGCATGATCTCTGTCACGATGCGCTCCTGGACCTGGGTCTGATGCTCTTCAGTGAGGCACAGGCCAACATATGGCAAGCGAGACAAAGCGCAAGCCAATGCCATGTTGCCATCTCCTGCTCCTGCATCCACCATGGCTGCAAGGTTGTAGCTGCACAAAAGCTCCACGCACAGGTTCACAGGACGGCTGTGCCAGAACACCGGCTCCTCAGTAGTCATCTTCCTTGTACTGACTCCGCGATGACTCTCTGCTTCTCCAGCAGTGCGTCCACCAACTGCCACTCTGTACTTGCCAAACAGAGTCACTTTGTCCTGCAGGAGTGTGAATCAGAAACTAAAGAAACATTATTGGAAAACATTAACAACAAGTGCTTTTGAAAATCCTGGCCTTCAGGGTCATGGACCACAGCGTCTTTGGGCTGTCCAGCATCACATCGCCAATCTTGTTGCCGAAGCTACTGCCCTTGTAGAGCTTGCGGTTCTGCTTGGTCATGGCGTCCCCAAACGGCTCAGCAGTCACCAGTGTCAACTGCTCAACTTGCTGAAACGTCGTTGAGTTGGCCTTGATGTACTGGCGGCGTTGGCGCAAGCTTTCCTCATCGTAAGAGACAAAAACTGTGAAGGAACTCTTGCTCAAAGCGTCTCCGGCAGGAGTCTGAAAGGAACCAAGGACCTTGCTCAAGTTTCCGGCCAAGAAGGAGTCAAAGTAGAAAAACAAGTCGCGGTTGTGCAAGCTCAACTGTTGCCGGTCTCTGGACTTGACAACTGGCGCAAGGAAAGTTTTGAGGTATGCCTGGTTGAGCGGACACACCCTAATGTGGGGATTCGTCACCGACTCCCCCCACTGGGCTGGGTCAAGCAGGACTCCCACCCACTGACTTCCGCTTCCTCTCACTTGACAAGCAGCTGCTTTGTCAAAGTATGCTCCCAGCTGAGTCTCTGAAGGCTCGAAAACAAACAGCTGGACGTTGGAAGACATGAGGTTGCGAGCCTTATCTTCGTAGAACTGGATCTGCTCCAAGACTTCTTCCTTCTTGATCTCACCAATCTTGGACTGCACATCGGCCAGGAAAGCCTTGTAAGCCATGCTTCTGACTGGCTTGCCTGCTGCCACATCTACATCTTCCTTCTCATCCTGTGCTTCTGCTCTGGCAGCTGCAGATGCTTCAGCACGAGCTTCATCCAACTCTTTGCGCAACGAGTTCTTGAACTCAACAAAGCGCTCGCCCAACTTGGTGTCCAGGTTCAACGTATCCAGGGGGCCTTTGCCTGCGACCATGGCGGCTTTCAAGTTGTCATCGAAGACCGTGCCGAAGACCGAATCCTGACAGAGTTTAGCATTGTTGAAAACCAAACGAGCTTAAGAAAAAAACATACGATGAATGCATTACTGTGATGCTAGAAGTGGGAAAAATGAGACGATGCGATGCACAGAAAGCAATCTACAATCCAGAAGTCCTGGATCAGCTGCAAGCAGTGATCAGCAGAGCGTGTCCATCCAGCTTTCCATGAGAGGTCACCTGGAGAGTTGGGGAAGCCCACCTTCGCTCGCAAGTTCTCGTGGGAGGAAAACAGGTCTTTCAGAGCTTGGCGGTACTTCTCAGGCATCTCTTTGGCTTCTGTGAGAAGGAAGAAGTCACCCACAAAGTAATCTCGGAACCTCATCTTGAAAAGGACCAGATCACACAAACCCTTGCCGCCAGTGGCACCTTGACCATTCAGCTGGCGGACTGACACTTCTCCATCCAGGTAACCACAGATCTTTGCATCATGCATGTGGACAAAGAGCCAGGACACCTCTTCAAAGCGAGAAGACTTGGCAACCATGGCGTGCAACTTACTGACTGAGTCCCATAGGCTCTTTCCAGTGGACTCTTCGGCAAGGATCACTTTCAGAATGCTGTCATGGCGCAAGGCTCTGTTCATGACCAGTGAAGCGTGGCCCAGGAATCCTGGCAAAACATCATGGTTTTTTTCTTATGGATTTAAAAACCAAAAATATTTTGGCAGAGACAGGTCCTTTCGTCAGTTTCTCCGATTTGGCACTCAACTTGAGCTTCTTGTCGTACAGATCCAGCAGTGCCTCTGGGGTGTAAGCCACTCCCATGGCCTCACGCTTTTGCATGACGTCGAAAATCCTCTGCGTAGGAGTGCGGGCCAGGAAGGAAAGTTGAGTCTGGTCCTCTCTCAACTGTTGGGCGACCCACTCCATCTCTTGAGAGTCTGCAACTACACGGATCAACACTGGGCAGGCCAGGCAGTGAGTCAACCACTTCTGCAGCTGGTCATCCTGAGCGCCTGCTTCCACATTCCTTGCTTCTGCACCGGCGGCCTCGAAGAAGGCAATGACGGACTCCTCAGCACTGAGACGCTTCCAAGTGCCAAAGGCTGGCATCTTCTTAGAGTCAACTTCTTGCTGCAAGACACCCGCAGTGACTTGTTGCTGATCTAAGCCAGTGGGCTCAGAGAACCAGTGTGCTTTCACTTGGTCGATGGCTCCCTGGGAAATTGGGATTTGCGGCGTGGCACTGAAACTTTGATCAAGCCACAAAGCGTTCATGAGACAAAGATACTTGCCCTCCCTCTTCAAGGACTCAAGTGCCAACTTCTCATCGTAAGCCTGGCCAAAGCTGTTCTTGCCGGGGCAAAGCAGAACAGCATCCTGAGAAACGCATTGCTCTTTGAAGACCCTGACATTCTCCAGGTGCTGGGTCCACGTGGCGCCATTCAAGGCGACTGCTTGTGTGCTAGCCCCTGGACAGCCACTGGTGGTCAAGCTCGCTATCAAACTCGAGTCCTGGACAGCAGCACTACTCGTCCCTTGATCTTCTTCTTGCCGGCCGTGGCCTCAGGCAAGGAAGCTTGCTCTGCAGCTGCTCTCTTAGCTCCCTTCGGAGCCATGGCTATCTACCACCGGAGCTAACGCAAGACGACTACTGCTGGGCCAAATCTCTGCAAGCAATGATGAATCAGTGAGTCAGCACAATGAAAGGACAATACAAAATCTAAAGAAAGACAGGAAGAATCATGTCAAAGAAGAGCCGTACTAAAATCGGAGAGCCGTACTAAATTCAAGCAATTTGCAACATTCAACGCGTATTTGACTGCCATGCTCCGGAGCCGTACTAAATTCGAGCGATTTGCAACACTCAACGCGTATTTGGCTGCCATGCTCCGGAGCCGTACTAAATTCAAGTCAACATGGAAGCTACAAGGCTGGGACTGCCATGTTCATACATGGAAAACCGTGTAAGAACACAGCGGGCAAACGCGTATTTGCCTGCCATGCTATCACATGTGAAACCGTGTACTAACACAGCGGCTTCACTTACAATAGAAATCGACTCTGCCATGTTCACACATGGAAAACCGTGTAAGAACACGGCGGGCAAACGCGTATTTGGCTGCCATGGTGTACATGGTGTCACCGTGTAAGACATGGCGGTCACGGCTTCTCATGGAAATAGTAGGGGATGAATTTAGTACCTCCCTTTTCAGGCGGCGCTGTAGCTTCACTCTTCGCGCCAATCCTTAACTTATTAATCTATATAGACTTAGAAGCTTCACAGCTATATATGTCTGGACAAAGAGGCTATTCTCAAAGGAGTGTTTCATCCACCTCCTTGGCTTTAGTCTGATAATGCCAGGAGATGAACCGCTGAAACGTTGTTGAGTTGGCCTTCATGTACTGGCGGCGTTGGCGCAAGCTATCCTCATCGTAAGAGACATATACGGCGAAGGAGTTCTTGCTCAAAGCGTCCCCGGCAGGAGTCTGCATGAGATGCCTTCACACATCTCCTTCTGCCTTGTTCGACTTCAAGCGGACAGGAGACTGCTACAGCCTCCTTGCCGTTTTTTTTAACAGGAGACCTTATCAAAGTCTCCCTGGGTTCAAGGGATTTGTTTTAGTACAGGACTTCTGCAAAGGAGACTTATTCAGCCTCACTTTTCGTGACCAGGAGTCGGAATACGCCTCCTTGTCAAAAATACTAACAACTTGAAGTGTTAGAAAATTTGCCTCCTTACCCAGGAGTCTCACAAAGACTTCCTTGACAGGAGACAATTCATGGCGCCCAAGCCCGCGTCCCTCCCAAGCAGCAAGCGCTCCTTTTTTACCTTCTCACTGTTGCTGAAAAACAGCCATGTCATGGTGAGCTTTTAGCTCACCCAAACCCAGGCCCATCTACCTCTTGACGAGCCAGAAGCAGAATGGCCACCATCGTCCCGCCAATCCTGCCATCGATCGCCCTTCCACAACGGATCGGCTGAAGTCCAGTGGCCTTCGTCGTTCCATTCTTCTTCGTCGTCCTCGTGCCACTTTTGGCCATGCTTGTTCTGTGTGGCATGTGCGTACCAAATTGGTCTTTTCTTTCCTCGGTTCTGCTTCTTTCGACTTTGCTGAGGGTACTTCCAGGCCTTGTGGAGATCCTCAGCAATGGATCAGAAGCGTTGAAAAAAACTCTCAACGACTACCCTGTTCCCCCCCCAAAACAAAATTGTACTCTGCATACCAAGGCACACAGTCAGTGTTGAGGCAGATGCCTTTTCCTTGGTACGCGGTCTCCTGGCACACACGGCAGTGCCGAAGATCCAGTGTGAGCGGTCGTTTTGATGCAGCTTTGGGCGTTGGTCCGGTCGTATTATCCGGCACTTCCACCACTGTGCCAGATGGAGCTGCAGTCTCCACTGCCGGGGTAGTTGCTTCAACTTCCGCTGGGGCTGCAACGGGAGGAGCAGGAACGCGGCTGTGTGACCGCCTCCATGGTGGTGGTTCTGTTGAACCAGACGCTCCAGGTGCACTTCCAACTGGTGCTGGCGGAGGCGGTGGCAATCCACTTGCGGCACCAGGAGGACCACCTGCTGACGATCCTCCTTGCAAGTACAGCCAAATCGCCTGAGCCAAGTTGTTCGCTGCATTGGGCCCAGCGCCAGGTGTGTGTGTGTGTGCCACAGGTGGCTGGCTGGGACCTTCACCAGGTCCAGGTGGTCCTGGTTGACCCAGCGCAGCCATCACAACGCAGACCAGCAGCAAGCAGGGCCGGGAAAGCTTCATGGCTATCAGCCGGACACGGGTGAGAGGCTCGGACAGGCAAGACGCTTCGAGCACAAAGAAACGGCTGCGGCGGCGATATGCATAGTGAGACACAGACTCAACGAGTGTTTTCACTTGTTATTCACCCCCTTCAAAAAGAAACAATGGAGAAATCCTTCTACTTACTGTTGGATTCAGGGCTATGCAGTGCGTGCAGCCACTTGCTTCCAATCTGCTCCTTTTTTTCCCTGTGGACATGTGCACTGCGTCGACCTAGTGATCCTAGTAAGACTCAGCAATGCCAGATCTACTTCGAGACTTATCTTCAGTGCAGAAGACCCAATGCTCGACAGCCTCTGTCAAGCCAGTGAACTGCAGTCTCACTTGGTCAAAAGCTTCATCACCAGCATCGCTTCGAAGAACTATCAGCTGACGAGCTCTTGCCGGATTCAACTTTGCGATGGCTTCATCCAAGCCTGCGCGGTTCAAGAGCTGGAAATTGCAATCTTGGAGTTGAAGGACTTCAGCTAACTCGCGGCAAAGATCTGTGTTATCCCGCAACCTGCGTCCACGTTGGTCTTGGGAAAGAGACAGACAGAGAGCATTCTTGACAGCCTCGCGCTGATGTTCTCGATGCGCTTCGGCCAAACACCAGCGCATCATATGGGCTTTCTTCCTGTTGGCAACATCGCTCACATCGGCTTGCAGGTTACTCGGCTTGGTGTGATTGATGACAGACTTCCACTCAGCAGTGCTGGGTGTGAAACCACCTATATCATCCAATGCAGGTTCTTTGCCACCGGCCATGCTTTCAGCAGTGCGGTGGGCTGGTGACTCAGCATGCTTTCGAAAACGGGTCACGCGAATCTCACCAGTGCTCACTTCATATCTAGCAAAGTGATGTCTCGAGACAGGAAACTTGGACATGACTTCAGGTGCCACTTGCTGAGCGTCATGGCACAGTCGACAGCCTATTCCCCACAAGCCACTATCCAAATTCATCTTGGCGTCCAGCCACGGCAAGTCTTTCTGCCACTTGACCTTGTAGGTCGCCCACTTACATCTGGCACATTTCTGCACACCTAAAGAGCAAGACTTCAGATGCGCTGCATCCTCATAGCCGCCGACCTTGAAGTCACAGTCAGGCTGCTGCTCCATCGCGCAGACTCAGTGCGCTCGATTGAGCCCAAAATTTGCAGAGACAGACCCATCAGAAATTCACTGAAAAGCTTTGACACCCGGTGTTTGCCTCACGAACCCACCTGCAACCTTGAAACAACGATGCTTCGGCTAAGCGCTGTTTGTTTTTCCTGCCACTGTTCCCCCTATGTCGTTCAGAGTGTGCACAACGCAGAATCAAACAATTTTGTTTGATTCAGTAAATTTAAACGATGCTTTTCACAGCATTTGATCAAGGCGTTCGACACTTCAGCTCTTGTTGGATCTTCTTTGCCAAGGCCTTCGCGAGCTCCGAGTCCTGCTTTGCAATGCTGCTTACGGAAAAAGGATTTAAACACCAATTGAATAGCTATATCAATGCAGTACATGCAGCCAAGCTACACACTTCATCAGATAAGCGCACTTGTCTCTCAAGAGCCGGGCGGGCATCCTGCGGAGAAGCTGCCGCTGCATTTCTTGAGTTTGCGACTCTGCCTGCCATGGCTTTTCAGGGTGGCCAGACACAGTCGCATCCTTGCAGCTGGAGACCACCATCAAACACAGACAGGGGTCTGTTGTTCTCACTATCCGCTTGACGCTGGAAAACACACCTGTTGGGACACATGGATTTCAAACACAACTCTTGTTGACAAACCATGTCAAGCCCGTGGTAACTCTAGAAGCTTGCAGCGTGCAGAGCAAAAATAAAAACTGCGAATAGCATTGAGCTCAGGAGGCTGTGCCTCCTTGGCCAAGACATGTTAACCATTGATGAATGTCAATGATCCTTGCTCAGGAGGGTGAACCTCCTTGGTCAGGAATGTGAAACATGTCTATGATCGCTGATGACGGAAATGTGTTTATGATCCTTGCTCAGGAGGATTACCTCCTTGCTCAGGAAATAGAAACTGATAATGGAAACCATGGCAGGTAATTTTTCCCCAAAAAAATCTGATCAAAATGTATTAAGCATTGGTGTGAAGCACTCATGTCAACATATGTTTCCAACCATTACTCCGACCATATGCAGTTTCTTTTGATGTGCAATGGTGTGAGCCTATTCAAACTTTAAACGTGTGAACAAACATGTGTGAAACAAAGTGTTTGATCCAAAGTGTGAAACAATGCTAAAATGATTTTGTAATAAAATATTATGAATGACTTGTAACATCTTGTAACATGTTCAATAACTACCTGTATAACCTTGTCTTAAAACATGAGAATGGCCATCAATCAGCTCAAAGGACCCTACTAAATCCAGCCCAGGATGGTATGCCTTGTTCTCCTCCTCGGGGGCTTCGGCATGCCGTCACTCTGTGCATGTGCTTCTTTTGTGGTTTTGGTGCCGGCTGGTGCTTCCGCGCCAGTCAGCTACCTGAGCCATTCTTTCGGATTTTCAGCTATGTCCATGCCATCAAGATTATCACTTGGGACTTTGCTGGAACAACCCAAGCAATCCAACGAATCACCGGAATCCCCAATTAGTTTTAGTTGGAGGGGGTGCCATTTGGAAGGGACTAAACTTTGTTTTGGGCACATCTTTGGACAGTTCCTTGCCGGCATTCTGTCAAAAATCAACTTCTTTGGTGGCGGCAGAGTGAGCGGATTCCTTGACGTTTTCCCTGCATCCTATGGAATTTGTGACTGCCACCTGCTTCCGCTTCTAGCATGATTTTCTTCCATAGAAAGGGTGGATTGCAAGCAGTTTGCATGGGAGATGTTTCTCATGTCTCCGTGTTGTTGCGACACGGTGATTTCTTGCCAATTTCCATTTGCATACCATGCGACACCAATGCTTTGATGATTTGCCATGTATCACTTTTTACTTTGACGAATTGGAATTTTATCTGATGTTTCATGCGTATTTGTCCAGCCTCAAGGTTTATTTAGGCCGGCGCTTAAGGGTTCGCCCGCACATCGATGGGTCTTGAGGATTGAGGTCAGGAAAAAGGCTGTCAGAGTCCGTGCTGCCTTTGGTTTCTCAAGATATTCTTTCTTTGCCCTGTTTTCTTCCCAAAAGCATCTCCGATGCTTGGGTTCTCGTTTAGTTACACTTGCCGCGAGGGAGCGATACGGTAGCGACGAGAGGGTGGACGGAGGGGAAACCGTGGGAAATAGCTTGGGGAGAGCTCCGTGGGGAATCAGCGAGAATAGCTTGGGGAGAGCTCCGTTGGGAAGTAGCGAGACGGAAGCGACGACAAGGTGGACGGAGGGGAAACTGTGGAAATAGCTTGGGGAGAGCTCCGTTGGGAAAAAGCGAGGTGGAAGCGACCACAAGGTGGACGGAGGGGAAACCGTGGGAAATAAATACCTTCAACTACTTCACAGGAAAGGTTTTACACACAGAAGCGTTTACACAGAGAAGTCTTTAGACAGAGTAGTCTTGACACAGAGAAGCTTGCACTTACAGAGGCTTTTACACAGAGAAGCCTTTTACACAGAGCAGCTTTTTCACAGAGGAGCTTTTTCACGGAAAAGCTTGTACACGCAGAGGCTTTGACACAGAGAAGTCTTTACACATACGAGTAGGAGCTTTTACACAGAGAAGCTTGTACACACAGAGGAGCTTTTACACACAGACGCTTTTACACAAAGAAACTTTTACACAGAGCAGCTTTTACACACAGAAACGTTTACACACAGAGGAGCTTTACACACAGAAGCTTTTAAACACAGAAGCTTTTACACTGGAAAGCCTTTACACAGAGAAGCTCTTACGCACAGAAGTTTTTACACAAAAAATGCGTTTACACAGAAACTTTTACGCACAGAAGCTTTCACACACAGACGCGTTTACACAGGAGTGTTTACACACGGATGCGTTTACACACAGAAGCCTCCACGCACAGAAGCTTTTACGCAGAGTAGCTTTTACACAGAGAAGTCTTTACACAGAGGAGCTTTTACACAGAGAAATCCTTCTTACACAAAGGAAATTTACACACAGAAACCTTTACACACAGACGCGTTTACACACAGGAAGTTTTACACACAGAAGCTTTTACACAAAAATGCCTTTACACAGAGAAGTTTTTACACACAGAGGCTTTTGCACAAGAAAACTTTTACACAGGAAAGCTTTTACACAGAAACTTTCACACACAGAAGCTTTTTACACCGAGAAGTCTGACACACAGGAACTTTTACGCACAAACGGGTCTTCACAGATAAGTCTTTACACAGAGGAGTTTTTGCACACAAAGTTTTCGCACACAAAAAAGTTTACGCACAGAGAAGGTCCTACACACAGAAGCATTTAGACTCAGAATTTTTTACACCAAAAAGCCTTTACACAGAAACTTTGATACACAGACGCGTTTATAAAGAGAAGTCTTGACACAAGGGCGCGTTTAAACACCGAAGCCTTTACGCACAGAAGCCTTTTTGCACAGAGTAGCTTTTACACAGAGAAGTCTTTACACAGAGAAGTCTTGACACAGAGAAGCCTGTACACACAAAGGCTTTTACAGAGAGAAGCCTTATACAGAGAAGTCTTGACACAGTGGAGCTTTTACGCAGAGAAGTCCTTACACAAAGGAAATTTACACAGAAAATTTTACACACAGACGCGTTTACACACAGGAAGTTTTTCACACAGAAGCGTTTACGGCGCACTGAAACTTTTACACAGGGCAGCTTTTACACACAGAAGCTACACAAAAAAGCCTTTACACAGAGAAGATTTTACACACAGAGGCTTTTGCACAAGGAAACTTTTACGCAGGAAAGCTTTTACACACAGAAACTTTCACACACAGAAGCTTTTTACACCGAGAAGTCTTACACACAGGAGCTTTTACGCACAAACAGGTCTGCACAGATAAGTCTTTACACAGAGGAGTTTTTGCACACAGAAGCCTTTTACGCACAGAACCATTTGTAGCTTTTACCCAGAGAAGTCTTACACAGAGAAGTCTTGACACAGAGGGGCTCTTACGTACAGACGCGTTTTTTCAGAGAAGTCTTTCTTTACACAAAGGAGCTTTTGCACACAGAATCTTGTACACACAGGCACGTTCACACACAGAAGGTTTTACAAACAGACAACTTTACGGCGCACTGAACTTTTAAATAGAGCAGCCTTTACGCAGCGAAGCTTGTACACACAGGGGGATTTTATACACAGAAGCTTTTACATAAGGATTTTTTAACACACAGAAGCTTTTACACACAGAAACTTTTACACACAGAAGCTTTTACGCACACAAACTTTTACACACAGAAGCTTTTACACAGAAGCTTTTACACAAAAAAAGCCTTTACACAAAGGTGCTTTTACACACAGACGGGTTTACATAGAGGAGCCTTTACACATGGAGGCGTTTACGCAGGAAAGCTTTTACACGCAGAAGCTTTTACACAGAGTAGTTTTTACATAGAGAAATCTTTACACAAAGAAGTCTTGACACAGATAAGCTTGCACACACAGAGGCTTTTACACAGAGAAGCCTTTTTCACAGAGCAGCTTTTTCACAGAGGAGCTTTTACACAGAGGAACTTTTACACAGAGAAGCTTGTACACTCAGAGGCTTTGACACAGAGAAGTCTTTTACACAGAGAAGCTTTTACACACAGAAGCTTTTACACAAACAAAGCCTTAACACAGAGGAGCTTTTACAGACAGAAGCTGGTACGCAAAGAAACTTTCACAAACAGAAACTTTCACAAACAGAAACTTTTACACACAGAGGACGTTTTACACAGAAGTTTTTACAAACAGAAGCATTTACACAACAAAACCTTGACACAGAGAAGTTTTTACCCACAGAAGCTTTTACATACAGATGTTTTTACGCAAAGAAACTTTTACACGCAGAAACTTTTACACAGAAGCTTTAACACACAGACGTTTTTCTCGCAAAAAAACCTTTACACAGAGGAACTTTTACACAAAGAAACTTGTCCGCACAGACGCGTTTACACAGTAGCTTTTACGCATAGAAGCTTTTGTACAGAGAAGTTTTTACCCATCTTTCATCATGTCTCATTTTTCATGATCATTCACCATCTGTCATCTTCATATCTTCGTTTTCATGCTCTTTTGGTCAACTCCCTCCGTCGTTGAGTTTTCATGTCGCGCGGTGTTCTGTCCGCCCACGCTTCGTCCTCGCTGCCTCTGCAGCGAAGCAAACTAAACGAGAACCCAGGAATAAATCGCGACTAGAAAGATAGGATAGATTTAATTACATTAGCAGAAATAGCAGAAATAGCGGCTAGAAGAATGTAGACGTAGCTGGCACAGCATGCTGTGGTGAATTGTGGCCCCTGATACCATCAGTGCGAACGATGTCTCACTAAAGATCTTACGTCGATTTCGTGCAGAGCACAGCTGCCCACACCGCAAGATTTTAAAAAAAAGGCGTGCTGTGCGCCGTCTTGCTTTTGGGTTCTCTGGCCCACCTTGTTTTTCAAAAAAAGTGTACATGTCCACAACATCCAGGACCAATATTACAGGCGTTCGCTCCAAATCAAGAAAGCAACTAGCTGGCTAAGTAACTTACTTGACTAAGTAACTACCTACGTAACTAAGTAATTCACTAAGCAACAAACTAATTAGTTAGCTAGTTTTCTAAAGGGAGGTCCACATCTTCAGAGTCTCGGAGTCTCTGAGCATCTCTGACCATGTCAGGGAGAGAATCAAAAGGTTTCTAATTGGACAGAGGACGCAGAGGAAATCGAAGAAGTTGAAGAGGTCGCTGAGACGATGCGATGTCATCGTGTTCTTTTGCTGTACCTTCCCACAACTTATGTGGTTTGATGATTGCTTTGTGACCTGTTGGAATTCCTGCTGTATGTTTTGCATTGCTGGAATCCAGATGAGCAGCGTCGAAAACCTCCATGAAGAGATTTTGTATAAGCATATTATAAGCATGAAAGTAACTTATGTCCGCGAAAGTAAAAACCCTCGCGCACGGAAGCTGCACGAAAGCCTCCGCGAGAGAATGGTGAGATTTCTAACCGCGAAGGCTCCGCGAAAACTTGAAATGTTCTTCCATTATTTTTTGTCTGGAGCATAGCAGTGCGTAGAAATTCCGCAATGTTAATGTAATGTTGTGAATGTGGCCAATGAAAATTATTGACATGAAACAAATTTGTACGGTGTTGTTCGGGATTCCAGGACAACAGTGACGACAATGGAACTCAATCCTTGTACCTCCTACCCCTTCGGATCCCTTCGGTTGCCACACTGAGACATAAATTCGCACCTTCGGCCCTTCGGCTTCTTTGTTTGGTTGATTACTCTGTGCATTTTGTAAGTTCTCACAGCATATCAGAGCTTGCAGTGTCACTTATTCAACACACTTAAACGCTGCCTTGAAACTGGCTTCCGCTTGCAATGGGCGGGATCCATGGCCTGTCTCCACGTCTACAACATCTCGGGCACGACCGTTCTTGAGCTCGATGGTGAAGAGCGCAAGAGGTTGCGATGCGCCACCCACTTTGGATTGGCTCTAAAGGAGACTATCCAGAGGCTGCAACTTGGCACAGAAGGACCACGAAATACCACGAAATACCACGAATATCTGCAAAGATTTTCTAAACCAGCCTGCTAATTGAAGCGGCGAAGATTCCATGCAAAACCGTTTAAATGACGTTGCAGAAAATTGCTTGAAGTATCTCGAAGTCGAAGAGTGGAAGTTGCCAACAGAATCTCTTGATTCCACACCTTGCAAGTTCAGGACGGGCACACCACGCTTCCGACAGCGATTGTTCTTCTGTGGTCATGAGGCTTCATCAATTGAGTTTGAACAGAACCTCACAATTACAAATCATTACAGTCAGGGTGCATTTTGGATCCTTCTGAATTCTGTAATTTTGGTGTGAACACCCTGGCAGGTCGGGGGGGAGTCTCCACTTCCAGACACAGAACGGATGGAATTACAGCTGGTCATTCTACCACTGCGACAAGAGAAGTCACCTGCTTTGATCCATGCAGCACAATTAGGCGAGTTGGCTTGCCACAACTTTGCCACAACTTGCCACACAAAGCCAAAATTAATCTGAAATTGTGTCAATGCTTGCTGCAAGTTTGCAGCCCTAGTGGCCCTAATCACCAAAATTGCATGCACACAGGCATTGACGGTCAACGCAGTCCAGCCACATGTGCGTCTTGTGAAGGTGATCTAACTTCGCTCACAAGCCTTCTGGAGGATGGGCAAGATCCGAATGCGACCAATGGTCATTTCAGCCCTCTATGGGCTGCTGCATGCCACGGTCGACTGAAAGTGGTGAAGCTATTGCTGCAAGCACGGGCTGACATGGAGATTGCTGATGTTGAGGAGCAGCGGTCGCCTCTTTTGATCGCAGCAGAGCCTCAGCTAAGATAAGAAACATTAATGACTTATTAATGACTTGAAACATCACTAAGCATTTTGTTCATTTGTTGTGTATCTGTTTCAAGAGGGTTGTTTATGTTTAACTGCATTTGATTCCAAGGATCATGGACATTGGGATGTTTTACACCACCTTCTCGAAGAACGTGCAAATGTGAACCACGTCGATAGCCGACAGAGGACTCCCCTGTTTCAGGCCGCATTGATGGGTGCTCATGCTGCGGTCAAGGCCTTGATTCAAGCTCATGCCAATTTGGAGAAGCTTGATGTGAAATATTGAACCAGCGTTCTTTCGAAAATCTCTCAAATAGGTTTCGACACATTTGGTCGCTTTCAGTTCTGCGCCCCTTTTGCCTTTGCCGAAACATGCCAACACATGCCAAAACTGAGAGCAGCACCTGTTTTTATTTTGGAGTGTTCGTTTGTGTCCAGGTCGGTAGACAACGAGATTCCATCTCCCCTTGGTGTTGCTGCAGAAACTGGACACTTGCAGGTGATGCAACTCTTGGTTCAGGCAGGTGCAAAGAAGAACCAGCCTGGCCCCGAGGGGCGCACCCCGTTGTGGTGTGCCGCAGCATCGAGACACTTGCTCTGCGTCCGTTGGCTGCTTGGCCACAGTCAACAGATGTCAGGTGAAGGAACTAGCAGACTTGTCAATTCCATAAACCATTCTGACTTTATGAACCTTGTCACACAAGACGATCGAAGATTCTCAAAACATCTCAAGACCCGTTGTCCAGGCTTCTGCGGGAAAAAGCTGACCCAGAGCTGGGAGATCTGGAGGGAATGACTCCACTCAGCGTGGCAGCTGCACACGGTCGCGTTGATGTGGCACGGGCTTTGCTGACAGGACGGGCAGATGTCAAGATGGTGGATCACCAAGGCCGCAGCGCTCTGTGGACCCTGGCCTGCAAAAGATGGTTTGGTCCTGGGCAAACTTTCTACCTCATGCAGCCCCCCAACTTGTTGACATACAAACACCGGCTGCACCTGCACGTACGGTACTCGTAGAGTGCCATATGTAAAGCCTACATCCCTGCTGCATTTTGGCCTCTTTCAGTGGGATGTACATCACGTATTTTGATCATTGTTTACCTATTTCCAGAATCATTCAGATACACCACAGTCTTCGTATGTTTTTGGTGTTGGTGAAAATCCAATAATTAATGTGCAAAGACTTGCTCACACCAAAGGACTGCTGCCTTGAACTGCCATGTGAAAATGGTACAGTGCCTCATCGATGCAAATGCTGACATTGAGAAGGCCGACCAAGATGGAGTGACCCCGCTCCAGATATCCATGTGTGCAGAGGCGTGGTGCCGGTGTGAGACCTTGAAATAGCGAGTGCATAAAAAACATAATGAAATATTGCTCGTAGAAAATAATCTAAAATAAAACAACTATAACATCTATAAAGATCTATAAAGCCTGTATAAAGCATCTTTATAAAATTTAGAAAACATCATAAAAAAATATATGGTTATCGCCAACGCTGGTAGGTAGGATAGCCACTGTTGAGTCATGGTGTTTGCGGCGCAGGTTCAACAGCTGCTATCTGAAGTGCAAGGCCGCTTCTTCTTGGCTTTGCTCGCAATTTGCTTGTTGTTTGTTTGTACTAGGCAGAGCAAATATGTCAATTCATGTTGCATTGACATGAATATTGATAAATATTTGAAATCTCGCCACAGAATTTCTGTTATTAAGAGAAAGAATCTAAATTGACAAAAAATTACAATCTGCGAATTGGTTGTATCAGGACATACCGATGATAATCCAGTAAGAATCAAAATATCATCAAAACGATGTCGGAAAATATTTAAAAATTCAAATAAATAATGTTATTATACATATAATATCATATAATCATATTATTTAAGAGCTGCCGCCCCTGCCGCCGACCCCGGAAGAATCGGCAAGGAAGCAAACTAAATTGGCATAAAAAATCTTCGGTGCTTCGCACCTTGAGGCTTTCGACCTTTTTCCTATGTATATTGTTGTGAAATATATTTGATATAGGTTTGAATTTTCATTTGTAAATGGGTTTTTCATTTGGGTGCATGTTAATATTATGATCCTATGGTTTTATGGGTTCATGGATCTAAGTAACTGTATAATAGTTTATATATATATACGATAGTTTTGGCCCTATTATTATACAGCTAGTGTTGCGCCGCACAGGTGCAATGTAATGCAATGTAATGCCATGCAATGTAATGCAATGCATCGCATTGCAATGAAAAGCAATGAAATGTAACGCAATGCAATGCAATGCAGTGAAATGTAATGCAATGCAATGTAATGCAATGTAATGCTATGCAATGCAATGTAATGCTATGCAATGCAATGCATTGCAATGAAAAGCAATGAAATGTAATGCAATGCAATGCATTGCAATGAAAAGCAATGAAATGTAATGCAATGCACTGCAATGAAATGTAATGCCATGCAATGCAATGTAATGCAATGCAATGCATTGCAATGTAACGCAATGAAATGTAATGCAATGCAATGCGGCAATGCAATGTTTTGCAATGCAATGTAACGCAATGCAATGAAATGCAATGCAATGTAATGCAATGCAATGCGATGCAATGTAAGGCAATGTAATGCAATGCAATGCAATGTAATGCCATGCAATGTACTGCAATGCAATGTAATGCAATGCAATGAAATGCAATGCCATGTAATGCAATGCAATGTAATACAATGCAATGCGATGCAATCTAATGCAATGCAATGAAATGCAATGCAACGTGCCAAAGACTAGAAACGACGACGAGAAACGACAAGTATCAATGACGGTAAACATATTTGTTGCCAAACTTTTTGGCTAGGACTAGAAACGACAGGTATCCATGACGATAAATACGGTAGGTGCAGATTTTGCCAAAGACTAGTGGAAAATGTGTGTCTTAAGCGTGTACCCATGTTGCAAGCCCAGAAAAAGTGAGCGATTCCACTTCTACATCCATTGGCAGACGTTGCAGCGTTGTTTCAAGTGTTATAAATCCTGTGAAATGAACATGATCTCGAAGCGGAACGTTGCAACCTCTTGATTGCAGCATGCTGCATGCACAAAGCCCTCTGAGCGGCAAGAAATCAAAGCAAATGATGCTCTCAGACTGGACAGGTTTCCAGCTGTGGCCAAACTGGACCAGGTCTTGCCCTATCTACCTGTGAATTGTCATACTTTACCAACCTGCCATAAGCCCTTTTTCTGTGTGTAAATACTCTGGTAATAACTCGACCGAGGTCTCACAAACACACACTAGACAAGAATGGATCATTATATGATCCGGCAGGAACTGAATCCTGAAACGTGCAAACCAGCCTAGACCATTTGTTTTACGTTAGAGACTCTTGTAGTACTTCTCGAAACCGAAGTAGAACATCCAATATTGTCCAACAGAGTTCAAACCAGATTCCAACAATACATCGGCGACATGACAAGGCAAAATAATCAAAATACAATCGGCGACGTGGCTCGGCGAAATAATCACAAATACTGTCGGCGACATGGTTTCGGCGAAAATACAGATTGTGGCAACCGTGGAGAAATAAAATCATGGTGTTGGGGTACTTGGCTTAGCCCCTCGCCATTCACACGCAATGATTGCAAAATAATGAATACGACAGCTTGTTCAACAGTTCAAAAAATCGCAGGTACGTTTTCACCCCCATGCTGTCTGGTCTTCGTTGGCCAGGACAGACAGTCATGGGTTCCTGGCCCCCTGCATAAACAAAATTAACATGCCGAAGTTTTACATCTTTACAGATGGGACACACACACTAGACAAGAATGGATCATTATATGATCCGGCAGGAACTGAATCCTGAAACATGCAAATTAGATATGAAACAACGAAATTAACAATGCAGGTACGTTTACACGGGTCCCGGGGGGGTGTCTTCGGTGGCCACCGACCCCCCCGGGACCCCGGTGGCCCCCTGCATTGTAATTAGAGTTAGAAAGGGAGAGGACAAAGGAAGAAAAAAGAGAGAAGTTTTACATCTATTTAGATGTTACACACACACACACCCGGCCGGAGCCGGGTCAACCCTGAAAGGCAAGAGGAAGAAAAAAGCGGACACACGACGGGCAGACGGCCAAAACAGCGCAGGGGGGGGAGGGGAACAGACGGACCTCCAGAACCAACCTACACGGCGAAACGGACCTGACAAAAACAGCGCACACACCTAAACCCAACAACACGTTACGGAGAGGCACGCGGGGAAAGATTAGGGACCAATGGGGAACTAGTTGATGCCAGACAAAACCAAAACAATTAATTAAAAAACAGGACCCAGTTCCTAGACCTACTGTTCGTGCAATTGTGCCACAACAGGCCCGTGTTCCAGTCAGCCACAAGGGCATAAAACGGCTTTCAAGTTCCATCGAATTAGATGCACAAAATGTTTAACCTCACCAGACAACCATCAAAAAGAAGAATACCACACCTGCAAGACGTGGGCCTGCCTGATTCATATGTCATGACTTGATGCACTTTCGCTGCAAACGTTGCTGTAAAAAACGGAGGTTTCTGGTAGTTCGAAGTGGCTTCACTCAATAGAGATGCATTCACTGGGTTCATAAAGGACAGCCGGAAACGCGGGACATCACAAAAGGTGCAAAACGGAAAGGCCAGCTGTTGCACATTACTTAAACGAATTACTGAGTTAAAATGTGTGAATTCAGAATTCAAGACTGTCGACACTCACCCTGAAGAGGGTTGCCTCAAATGGCTCCATGGCACCATGTCGGAGCCACCATGGAAATCACACTAGACAAGAATGGATCATTATATGATCCGGCAGGAACTGAATCCTGAAACATGCAAATTAGATATGAAACAACGAAATTAACAATGCAGGTACGTTTACACGGGTCCCCTGGGGGTGTCTTCGGTGGCCACCGACCCCCCCGGGACCCCGGTGGCCCCCTGCATTGTAATTAGAGTTAGAAAGGGAGAGGACAAAGGAAGAAAAAAGGAGAGAAGTTTTACATCTATTTAGATGTTACACACACACACCCTGCCGTAGCAGGGTTTCATTTTTGGAAAATTAGCGGTCGGTCGTGTCAATGCACGAGCTGATGTGAACCGTCAGAGGATTGATTTACAAATGTGCTCTCACTCTATTCAGAAGCGGAACTTGGAGCCTGCTGCAGGATGTGAATCGAATCGTGAAAGCTCATGCGTGTCACCATTCTCCATGTATCATCAAGTTCGCCAGATGCCGTCGCTGTCGTCAGAGCGTCTGATAGTTGTCTGGCAAGATCAGGGATAGTGGTAACTTGTCCTGTTTCATCTGGTGACCCAGTCGTCTGAATAGGTACATGATGATAAGGATTGATCCCATGTAGTAGAGGAATTTCGAAGTGATGGCGCCAATAGTCAGCAGTTTGTAAAGACCATTCCCAATTGCCAGAGAGGCCGTAGAAGAAATGTTCCGGATCGCGACATTTGGAGATTCCCGATGTTGGTATCTCTTCAATAAAAAGCTCCCGGGTGTTGTTGGAGTGTGTAAAGATCTTGAAGTGGATTTGGTGGACTACTCTTGCCGAGAATTGTGAGTGGCGGTGAGCGTGGAAAGGTAAAGGATCTTGTGTCGGGAAAGGTACTGCATGTTGAGGAGGAGCTGTATATGTATCACTCGTTGCCCCAATGGCTGGGTCAGTGGGTGTAGTCGTTGGTTCACCATGTGTCGAAGGAGTCGACGTCGTGGTGGGAGGGGCATCGATAGTACTTGCAGCAGCTGTTGTAGAGAGGGTACCACGAGTCGAAGAAACCGGCCATGCCAATCCCGCTGAACTTGCGTCACGCTTGTTTTCCATGGGTGAGACCGTCAATCAAAGGAAAGTGTGAAGATCAAAAGCTGCGGGAACAAAATGTCACGTCGTGATGACAAGGTCAATCAATACGTTGTAAGGTAAAGCATCAATACATTGAATGATGAGACGAAAACTAAGCGACAAAACTTTGAATCAACAACGAGGTGACGAAAATCTTTTCCTTTGCCATTCGCCAGATCCCACACTCATACAGTTAAGGTAAAATGACACCTTGACGGACTTTATGGCATTGTAGTCGTAACACGAAAGGTTGTGATGTGCCAGGGACCAGCCAAGTGGATTCAATGTAGTTGTACTGTCGGATGCGCCATTCTGGTCGATATTCTTCCAGGAGTTGTATGATGGTCCAATCGTTTGGTACTTGAAAAACACCTCCTTGGAGATCAGCATAGCGAAATTCCAAATCAGACGGGACCATGTGAATGTCCCACTGGGTACGTAGGCGAGTGGTCAATGCAGTACGTAGATCTCGAAATGGTAGGATGCCAGCTTCATCCGGAAGAAAATGGCGAGACCAGGTGAAAAGAGCTTCAAGTTCTCCCGCGCTAACGTTTCTGAAGTTGGAATTGGCAAGGACACTGTATAAGGCGTGATCAGGTTCACTACGATGCGTCAGTTCTTGCAAAGGAGAGTAATCCACCAGGATCAAAATGGGTCTGTAGGGAGGTGGCTCAATGTCTCCTGGAAGGCAACCTGGTCCTGCAAGCCATGCTGCCGATCTAGTCCCGGTAGGTGTGGTAATTTCAGATGTAGCTCGATATGGATGAGGACGAGAAGAAGATGGGGCCATGGCGGCGGGATGAAATAAACGGTGAATAACTAAATGGGGCCTAGGCTGCGAAGAAATCGAGGAAGATGAAGAACAGAGTCACAATAATAAAACAAAAGTGACACGTGCACAAAGTTGAAAGAATGGAACAG